ATCTGTGCAGAAAGGCACAGAAAATCTGAAACTTTGCTAAACTTTTTGCCCCTTCTTTAGCTCACAGGTTGTGTTATTAGAGCGGCCTCGAGTTATCTCTGCCAGTGTTGTATGAGAATTCAGCGAGCAAATGCAACCTGATGAAAATCTGAATGAGTTGAATTATTGTGATTGGTTAAGGAGTGATGCTAATTTGTGTAATCATTTTGCAAGATGGTTGCATGTTAGTATTTTCTGATGAGAAAGATGGCTTTTGTGACTGGTTGTGTTAGCTTAGTACGTGAAGGTGTGATAAAGTTGCCCATTTGTAAAACAAAACTTCATATGAGATCTTGTTACTCTCTTTTGAACTTGTTCTACAGATCATTGTGCATTATTTTGTCCTTCAAATATTCCTAGTATAACTCTAAATTATACAAGAAAAAATGCAAGGGAAACCAAAATTGCTATAACAATAATACCATTTGTATTATTACTTACATTAAAAGTTTGCTACAACACAGTTCTGGATACTCGTGGTTGGAAATAAGCATTCCTTGTTTGAGTTCTTTTACAAGGACTATATGGAATCATAGTAAACTTACGCGTAAACACGCGAGATTATTATACAAATTGTTCTCAATTGATTTTTTGAGATTGACTTTAAATATATATATAAGCTAGTCGAGCTCGAGCTTTTAGAAGTTGAACCAAATGATATAAGTTGACAACTTTTTCATGTACGTATGTTTGGTCAGTCCCGTGCGAATAAAATTTCTTGCTATGCCCATGGAAGGGATTATCATTTGTTAAAAAGTTGAAGATTATTCTTCTAGTTACTGTATAGCATAAAAATTTTAAAAGATAGAAAAGATAGAGAGAAGATAATTGAAGCACAAAAATAAAAGGATTCATTATTAAAAATATAACTTGAAATATATAATTTGTAGAATTTTTAAAGGTAAAATATAAATTGTTGATTCTCCTTGGCCCTTAGGGAAATATTTAATTATAGTTGGATTACAAAACATATTAAAAAATTCATACGAATTAAGAATTTGGTAATATTTGATTTTGGATTGTATGCATATATTTTCCATTTGGGTATAAGTCAAACTGGTCAAGACTCATTGACTCAAAAGTCCCATCCCATGCACAAAACCTTTATTAATAATAATATAATAATAATAATAATAATAAAAAAAAAGACCAACTAAGATCTGATGTGAGCCCCACCAGCCCCCCTATTGTTTCCCAAACGTGACCTTAAAAACCTCGCATAGGTGTATAGGTTCCCTCCTAAACGCTGATTTCTGCAGCAAAGCCGCAAAGGAAATTTCTTTTCCAAGTAGATTTGGAGCGAGAGAGGAGATATCGCTTCGAACCGCCTTCCAGATTTTCTTATTTTTTTCCTTTTGGCTCCCCATAAATTTTCCCTACTAACCTATTTCTCTTCCGCGTTTTTTCTCTTTCGCTTTCTGGAGGAAAAAGGATTTCCCCTTTTATTTTTCTCCTTTGCCCCTTTTCACGAAGAGGGAGGGCATTCGAGAAATCTCCCAACTTTCTCCGTCTGCCGCTTATCGAGCTCTATGAGGTCAAACCCTTTTGTCCTGTTCCTTTTTTTTTTCTTCTAATTTAGCGGGCTGTTTCTACTGCGTATAGATATTAATAGTGCCAAGTACGTCAAACATGAAGTTTTATTTATCGAAGTTTTGATTTTTATTTGTACCCGTTGCCTGGTTTCTGGGTTTTACGGCGGATTGCAGAGAAAATAATGTTTCTTTCTTTGTTCTTGTGGTTTTGAAGTGTTCATATGTTTGTTGGTGGTCTGAATTTTAGTTGTTTCAAGAATCAAGAACGTCTGTTCTTCTTAAACTTTGATGTTATCTCGTAGAGTAGTGTTTGAGTTTCTTCATGGATCAGATGTTCATGTCTATTTTTGTTTAAAGATTGGATTTAAAAAAGAAAATTGTTTACTTATTTGTTGACCGTGAAAAGGTTTTAGATCTATATTTGAAATTGCGTAGAACAGGTTGACAACTTGGTCACCTGGCTTCTTTTTGTATTATTCTTGACTTCTTCATTACTTTTGGTTCCGCATCGATCTTAATTTTTTATTTGCTTAGGTTATGCTTGTGTTCTATGTTAAATGTTTTATGTCATTTCCATGTGCCCTGCGGGATAATAATAATAGTTAATCTGTTAACAATTTATGAGTACTTATTTGTTTGATTCAAATATTATGGTGATATAACACACGTTTGTGTCTTCCGTTTTCCCTTTTCTTGTTTGGTTTGAAAATTTATTTAACCCTTTGATTGCTTGTTCTTACTTCAAATCTACTTTTATTCCAATAATAACTAGTTGCTTTCAACACGATCTTTCCTGTATTTCCAAATTATTGACTATGGTGATTTACTATCAATCAAACTTACATATCGTCATCGCATATCTGTTTGTTTGCTCATATTGCATTGCAGTCTCGTAGTTTTTCTCCAATCAAATTTTTACTGACAATCTTAACAATGTATTGGAGTCATTATTAGTTTACTTGTTATCTGTCTTATTTGTTTTACTTGCCTAGTTTTTAGTTTACAGGAATCTGTTTATGTTAGTTAAAATTATTGTTCCGAACTAATTTTCTGGTTTTCGTTGCCTTCTAAAGCCGAAATGTAGTGCCAATTTATGACCTTCCCAAATCCAGGAAAAAATAGTTCTAGTCGATTCTATTCTACGGTCGTGTGTATGTGTAATATATGTGTAATCTGTGTTTTCATTTATTATTTGAACAGTATCATTTCTTGATTACTCTTTTCTTACATAGCATGTCCTCTTAAATTTACAGATATGGCTAATACCAAACCTCACGTTGAGGCAAATGCTTTTGTGCAACGCTATTATTCTACGCTCTCTAAGTTTCCCCAGCACATCCACAAGTTTTATGGCGAATCTAGCCTTCTATCCTGGCCAGGTTCTGATGGTGATTCGGCACCTGCCACAACCTTGAGCGTAAGAAGTTTTCCAAAAAATTGTTTATGCTAAATATAGAAACTGCCAATACCAATACTTTCAATTTTTTCTTCAAACTATCAATACGCCTAAGATCCTTTTTCGTTTTATTTTCGTATAATAATAATAAAAAAAAAAAAAAAATCATGCACGCTCAAGCTAAATAGAGAGAATTTTTCATGATATTGGTGCAGGCAATTAACGACAAGATTATGTCATCCGACTTCATGAATTTCACTATGGAGATCAATACCGTGGATGCTCAGGCATCTAAAGATGGAGGGATTNACTAGTATTGAGTATTGATTCTAAGAGCAAAGGAGATGTGGTTTAGGTTTCTTGATTGTGTTTCTACTTGAATCTTTTTCTATAAATTTTTGTTGCAAATTGCCACTCACTGATTGCGAACACTACCTCGATGTACTTGGTTACTTCTTCAATAAATTACTTCTTTAAGCTTATTTGATCAGTGGCTACAATAACTAACTAGTTATCCTTCCTATTCATTTCTCTTTTCTGAAAAAACCATACTCTTGCCATTTCAGCTGAAGGTGATGTATCTGACTGCCCTAAATCCTTGCCCGCTGAAAAAGCCAAAGACCAAGTTGAAAATGTCAAGAATGCCCTTGATGTGTCCGTTGCAAAAAGTTCCCCGAATTCTCCCATTGTCTCTGAGCCGGCTTTGAATTTAAAAACGCTTCCGGGAGTATCTTATGCTTCTATGGTGTGTTATCCGAAAATTTCAACTTCAATGTCCTTTTACTTTCACTCAATAATTGCAAAAACCACCCTTGAGATCTATTCTAATTGCAAAAGCCAGTTTCTCTTTGAGAATTACAAACACTCCTTTTTCTGTAATTAGTCTAGATCTGAGGGGTACTTTTGCATTTAACAATCATCATGTCAATAGGAATGGCTTGTGTCTAAAAACATTGTGGTTTCTATAAAAGGTGGCTAAAAGTGCCCCTGTAATCTTACCAAAAGCTGCTACCCCAAAGTCTACAACCCCAAAGCCTGCAGTGGTCAACTCAGTAGCACCAAATGCATCGACCACAATCGTGTCTAAATCACCAACAGGAAGCAAAAGCACACCGCAAGCTAATCCTCAGCTAGAAGGTAATTTTTCTTCTTTGTTCACTTCAGCTTGTCGGGTAATTGAAGTTATATAACTCCTGGTTTAATATATTTCGAAACACTGAAGGCAGAGGAGTATTTGTTGGAGGGTTGCCTTATGAAATAACCGAACAAGGTCTAAGGGATGCCTTGAAGCAGTTTGGACCTATCAGAACATATCCAAATTCTGTCCAGATTAAGAAACATAACGTATGTCTTTTTCGATTTCATTTAAAGTATGCATGTGTTCTTGATTNACATTTTTTATGTTTGATATTCTTACTCTCTCCAGGATGGTTTTTGTTTTGCATTTGTTGAATTCGAATCTGCCGATTCTGCTTGTAGAGCTGTCGAGGTATCGAATTATTACTATCGAATTATTACTACTATGCTTTTTAATCTGCCTCGACTAATGTTAATTGTTTTTGCAGGTTCATAATGTCAAATTTGGTGAAAAGGAAGCCTATATTACACACAGGAAGTCGCCCGCTAACCGTGGTAATTATTATTATTTTTTTTTTCCAGACATTCGAAATTCAAGTATATTATTAGCATACACTCTAATTTGAGTCTGTTAATATCATTTTCTTCCCCAAACAACCCAAAACCAAAAGTTTGAGCATATAAATGTAAAGTTAAATTGATTTATTGATTCATTTTAAATTAATTTCTACAGGTAGTGCAAGGTCCCCTACAAGGGCTGGGATTAGAAATGGCAATGGAAACAAGCCCAGTTATGATAAGGGTCGGGCCACGGGCTCTCAACAGACCCGATCGTCTGGTCATGGGGCAAGGAAGACTAATTGAGACCTATCAAATTGATATCTGAATTAATCACAAAGTTTTGCTTATTATCTGCGGATTACATTTTTTTTCTGGTACATTGATAAAACTAAATCTTATTGAGGAAGTTCACAACAATTGCGGCGATCGTTATAATGGGTCCAACCATGTGTTAGAATGTGGGTTGTGGTGAACACATCACCTTTTTTCTTCTTATTAGTGTAGGATGCCTGATATAATAGTATTAAAATAATTTTATTATTGCTATGATGCGGAAAATAAATATTAAAAAATAATTTTATAAAAATGAATATTGTTAATATTGAAATTAATTTTATAAATTAAATATTGAACAATGTGAACACGGTTTGCTATTTTTTTTTGTGATGACTCACATAGTTGAAGAATTTTTATTTAAGAAAACAAAATTGTGTTGGAAATTTTTTTATTCCAAGATTGTGTTGGTCTCCAAGATTTTTCGACATAGATTTTTTTTTTTTTAAATTCCAATCATTTTTATGTAATATTATTAAGTATTATGAAATAAAGTAAATATTTTTGTTTTTATTTTAGTTTTATTTGTTTATGGTAATGGCTGTCTTAGTTTACTCAGTGAATAAAATTTTTTCGCACCAACTAGGCGAATAAATGAATAATATGTGATGATTGTATGTATATCGATGTTTTGTCGAAGAAAATAGAAAATTTATGAAAATAAATTTTTAAGAAATGAATCTGCAAGTGTTGTGCAATTATTATGAGAATTTTTAAAAGAATATGGCAGTTATTTATGAGAATTTTAAAAGAATATGGCAGTTATCACCTTTAGACTGGAAGAAAGCACCTGTTACTGAGTCATTCAAACATTGGTGGTGGCCTTTAGACTGGAAGGAAGCACCTGTTACTGATCATTCAAACATTGGTGGTGGGATGTTTGCTCTGTTGATAAAAAAGTAATTTCTGAACATTGGGGCTCTGTCTCTCGGTTTGTACTGTATTTTCTTTATGAATGAATTATCTGTCGTTTTGAAAAAAAAAAAGGTGAATAATTATTTAATTTAATTTGGTTTGTAACTACAAGGCGACGGATCCACGATTGACCAAATTGTTTACATATTTGTCGCATAATGTTTGCCGAACTGTTTACATATTTGTCGCATAATGTTTTCGCAAGAACAAAACGAAACTATATTTAAGTTTGCGAGTTTTGAGATCTCGCCAGGAAAAGAGCCTTCAAATGAATTACTGTCTCTAAACGACCCGAGGGACATTTTTCCATGTGTACTGCTAAAGCGAGTCGAGAGGATGAGAACCGACAAATTTGTACAGTGCCCAAGATTCGCGGGGAGGGGACCACCAAGGGAATATCTAGAAACGTCTAGAACTTCAAGATTCTGAAGCTTTCCAAGCTCGTACGGTACAACACCTCTTAAGTCGTTCGAATACAACAAAAGCGTCCTTAGATTGCCACAATCTTCGAAAAACCTTTAGTTTCTTCAAACCGGCGAAATTATAACTCGAAAAATCTCCATATACGGAGCACGGTCCCACATAGAATCTCCGGGTGCCCAAATCAGTTTTAATTTCGTGAGATTCAAATCACATGACACTCCACGCCACGTGCAATGGTGTATTTGCCCTTTGTTTTCTTGTTTGTACTAATTTTGATTTGTTTTCTTTTATGTAAGCTTATTAATGGAAACTGGATTATAAAGAGTGCAGTTTCTACAGCTGATACAGAATGAGATAAAGACAAACCACAAGGAATGAATTCCATGGCATTGGATTTGTTAAAATGATGGCCCATGGGTAACATGACTCAAATAGTCGTCACCACATAAAGAAATTTAACGTAAAACTGTACAACTCAATTTTCTAATCGTCATGTGACAAATTCGACACCTAAACTATCAAAAAACAAATGATCTGATCAGGTAAAGGTGGCAGGTAAAGGTGGAATTGGACTAGCAACTCGTTCAAAAATTATCATGAAGTGCTCTGTAAAGGGAAAGAAT